TAAAAAAGAGAAGAAAATTCTTAAAGGAAAAAGAAAGGAAAAGAAAATGGGAAAAATTAACCCTATTTCTGCTTTACAATTGGTTTCAAAACCATTTCCACTGGAAAAACAAGGAAAAGGACCATTTTACTGGAAGGAAATCAGCTGGGGTCCCAGGCATAGGCATGGGTGAAGGTGCTGAAGTATTTTTGTAAAACATTATTTTATTATTCCTCACATTTTTCCTGTTTTTTCTAACATAAAAATGGCATTCAGGCTTTTCTCAGGATGAATATTTGGCTTTTTCCTGGTTAAAAGGTAAACTTCAGCTTTCCCTTAAACATCTGCAGCCCCCTTCTGATTTTCAGCCCAAACCAGTCATTTGTAGAGGTGACATTCTGCTCTCTAGTAGAATTCAGGGACAAATTCATTCCTTTGGATAGGAATAAAGCTCTCTGGGAATGGCAAAAAGCAGACAGGGAATGTTTGATGGGAATTTTCCACCTGGGAAAGCCTTGGAGTAACGTGGTATGGGTGATGCTAGGGCTATTTGTATCCAACCAGGCACTGGGGTTTGGTTGATTGAGGAACTCAGGCCCTAAAACCTTGGAATGTTTAAATTCCCAGGAGTGGCTGGGATTTGACCCTGCCATGAGGACATTTTGCTCAGATACAGCAGCTCTTGGATCTCCTGCCATCCCAAACTTTGTTGGAGTTCAATCGAGTTTGGAACGTGGTCTTGGTGCCAGCACAAATTAACTCACCCTGGGCTGCAGGAATGTGGTGCTTTAAAAGTCCTGCATGATTTATGGAAGCCAGAGGAAAAGTGAGAATAAAATGTGCCAGGTCAGGAAGGGACAAATCAGGCCATGGGGCTTTAGTGGCTCTTCCACATCCATAACTTCAGTTTTCCTCACAGATTTCCCTCGGCCAGGCTGAGGCAGGTGGGATCTGCCCACGAGGAGCCTTTTGGCAGCTGCCAGGCCTCATTCCCAGCATCCTGGAAGTGCCATCCATGCCCTGGATCCACACACGGATCCCACTTGGCACTGGGCTGGTCTGAACGCGCTTTGTTGATTTGGAATATTCCCAATAACTGATGGAGGCAAAACAATCAATAACAGCACCAAGAAGGGACATCAGAAAGGTTTGGACAGGAAGATCCAAGTTTTCCATGTTTTATGCTCCTGTCACCACAGATGGGAGATGTCTGATGTCAGCACCTGATCCAGGTGTGAATGGAAAAATAGCCATAGGAGTGTGGGATTTTATCCCAAGTTTCTGGAGCAGTACATGGATTTTGGTGCAGGAAGAATCTGCCCTTTGCAAAGCTTTGGAGTTTCACCACTGGAATAGAAACAAATCCGGGATGGATCCCTTTTATTTGCCAGGAAAAGGTAACGATAGACCCACAGTGGGCCATTGGCTGTGCCCCTGCTCCAAAGAAACTTCCCAGCCATTCCCAATCCACACCAAATAATCAAACATTTGGAGCTGGTCCCTCATTAATCAACCTCTGGTTTTGCCTGGGGCTCGCTGTAATTGATTCTGAGCTGAGCTTCCATTCTCCAGGAGGGAAAAATAAAATCAGATTTCCAGGTTTAACTCCAGTGCATCAATTCCATTTCCAGGGGGTTTAGGGTTTGATTTCCTTGAACAATTTTCTGGCACTCTCGGTTTGGAGCAGGAGCAGATTGCTGGAATGATGCTCCAGAGGTGTGCAGGGACACTGCAGGTCTGCTGCACCCATCTCACTCTGAGGTGAGGCTGTGGAAAAATACGGATTTTTATAAGTTATCCCTTAGAATCAAGGAATTCTTCATGTTGAAAAAGCCCTCTGTGATCACCAAGCCCAACCATCAGCGTGTTCCCCACTAATCCATGACCCCAAGTGCCACATCCACAGGTTTTTTTGCCCTTCTAGGAATGGGAACTCCACCACTGCCCTGGGCAGCCGTTCCAGGGCTTGACCACCTCTGTCTCCCAGGTCAAAACACTCCTTAGAGCATTGCAGGGCATTCCCAAAGATCTGAAGGAATATTTTTGGACTTTGGGCTGTTTAAGAGTGCTGGAAGTTGATTTGGAATTTAGGATTTGGGGGTTTTGAGGCCTCTTGTGGGTCCAAAGTTCCTGCCATGGGAAATTCCCTGGAAAATAGGTGGGAATCAGGAGGGAGGGAGGGAGGGAGGATGGATTTGGGAAGTTATCAAGGAATATCTAAAGGTTCTCAGCCAAAACGAGCCCAGCTGGGGAGTCCAGTGAGCCCCAGTGAGTCCAGTCCTATCTACTCTGCTCCTTCCTGCTGGAATCCCCATGGAATTCTGCTCCCCCTCATTGCTGCCAGGCAGACCAGTGATCCCAGTGGGCATCACTGGGAATACTGGGAGCACTCAGCTCCCAAGGCACATGGAGAGAAAGCACAGCACCAGCAGCAAATCCTCCTCTGGCTCTATTCATCCCGTTCTGGATGTTTGCCCAAGTTCCCGAGGCCCTGCGAGGTTGGAGAGGGAAGTTCCACAAATGTTATTAAATGGGTTAGGATTTAAGAGGAGCCAGAGTTCCGAGTTAAAGCACAAATTTGGGATCAGAGCTCAGGAACATCCATTCAGCTGTTCCAAAATATAACTTTTGCTAATGTGGCCCATAAAGCTTTTCTTAAAGTTCACATCTCTCTTCTTTTTCCTTAAATCTTCTTTTTTTTCCCCCAGCTTCTGAACATAAAATCCAACCATTTGCTCCTTTGCTGTGCCCAATTTTTTGTAATAAATGTCACCCTATTCATGCAAGAATTTCTCTCTGTCCCTAATTCTTCATCAAGAGCAGAAATTCTCCTCCTAAATCATGATCTGTGAGCATTTACCAGAAGCCTTTCCTGATTTGCCTCCCAAATCTCATAATTCTGAGTAAAACTGGAAGTGCTGAGCAAGAATGAAGCGTTATCAAGTGAGGATCAGACCATCCACAATCCCATTAGTCTAAATTGGATTAATTATTTGCAGGAAGTGCTTGAAGTGCTTAAAGTGCTAAATGGGTCATGGAATTTCATGGGTTAAGCAAAAAGGAGATTTGTCACTGAGAAAAACTTTATTAATAAACAGTTAATTGGACCCAAACTCGCTGAGGAGAGATCTTAATATAGAGTTTTTATATATGTATATAATATTTAATTTATATATTTTATACATATATATATATAAACCACCACTGAGTCCCTGGGGAGTCCTGGCAGGACATCATGAGCAGCAGCATGTGGGAAGTGTCCTCCTGCAGCAGGGATGGTCAGGAAAGTATCTGAAGGAGAGAAAGGGCACCAGGGATCCCAGGACTCTGTTCCACTGCTGGGAGGGACAGGAATATTGGGATATTGGCACTAATATCGTAGAGGACTCCACGTGGAAGGTCTCCACCTGGACAGCCACATTTTTCTAAAGCATTATTTTATTATTCCTCACATTTTTCCTGTTTTTTCCAACATAAAAATGGCATTCAGGCTTTTCTTGGGATGAATATTTGGCTTTTTCCTGGTTAAAAGGCAAAACTCCAGCTTTCCCTTGAGCATCTGCATCTGCAGCCTGTGGGATTTTCAAACCATGATGGAGACACCTGAGCAGCCTGGAGGGTTCATGTGGCACATTCCAATCCAAGTCAGCTCTTTGCTCCCCAGAGCGGGAAAACCTTTCTGCTGTGACATCAGAAGGAGCAGGGACTTGGGGGGATGGACTGCTGTCACTCATGGAATCATGAAATCACAGAATATCCTGAGCAGGAGGGACCCACAGGATCATCCAGTCCCACCCCTGCCCTGCCCAGACCCCCCAATATCCCCACCCTGGGCATCCCTGGCAGCGCTGTCCAAACGCTCCTGGAGCTCTGGCAGCCTCGGGGCCGTGCCCATTCCCTGGGGAGCCTGGGCAGTGCCAGCACCTCTGGGGGAAGAACCTTGCCCTGCTCTGCAGCCTGAGCCTGCCCTGGCCCAGCTCCAGCCCTTCCCTGGCTGCTGGCCCTGTCCCAGGGCTAAGATCAGAGCTGCCCCTCAGGAGGAGCTGCAGCCCCTGGTGAAGGTCTGAGCTCAGCCTCCTCTGCTGCAGCTGAACATTCCAAGTGCCCTCAGCCCTTCCAGACCTTTCCCCATCCTCCTGTTTGTCCTTTGTCCATCTCCAACAGCTTTAGATCTTTCTCACGAGGTGGGGCTGTCCCAGCCTGGAGCAGGGCAGGACAATCCACCCTGGCTGAGGCTGTTCCTGGTGCCCCCAGGACAGGGATGTCCCTCCTGGCTCCAGGGCCCTGCTCACTCAGGTTTTGTTCCAGAGGATTTATATTTCACACAACACAAGGAGCTGGATTTGGCCCATCCCTGCTGCACATTCCACCCAATTCTGCCTCAGTTCCCAACCCCTTCTCCAGTGTTTCTCAGTTCCTCACCATGAACTGAGGGTCAGCTCTCACCACTCAATTTCCCAATGTTCTCTCCTGCTGCAAGTTGGAGTTGCCAAATTCTCTTTGTCCATTTTGCCTTTCCTCAGTCTTACAGGTCCCAGTTGCTTCCCAAAAACTTTGACTCCCGCTAACTTCTGTTTCTAGCAGCTGTTAACTTTACCTACCCTGATTTTTTCTGTCCCAAAAAAGTAGAACTTCCTGTAAATCTTTCAGGAGCAGAGCAGCTGCTGTAATCCCAAAGTTCTTATGCCAGATCCACTCCCTGCTCCCTCATCCTGTCAGACACAGCTTTGCTTTCCCCCCTGGCTGACCTCCACCATCCTCTTCCTCTCCTTCCTCACCAGCAGCCACCAGTGTCAATAATGCTGAATTATGAATTTGTTTAATGCTATTAAATAATTCACTCATGGCTTGAAGTTCTTCCAGCAGTTTGTTGGACACCAATGCTACCTAAGGAATTTACTTTGGAATTCCTGAATGTTTGGTACTGTACTAATTAAAACAAAATGGAAAAATAAAGGGGAATGGAGAAGTTAATGGAATAACTTACAGTTGTTCTGTGGAAGGAATAACTCCCAACTGTCTTCAGTTAGGAAAGATGATTTAATGTTTCATCTGGGAGAAATAATAGGATGTAATGGAATCCACGGACAATAATCAGAGCCTTATCTCAAAATGTCAATCTTGCCTCATCTGCTATTCTGGGGAAGATGATTTTGTTATCAATAATGGAAGGAATTGGTCCCTTTCTTCAGAGTCTTGTTCTTACCACGCAGATTCTTCTCTGTCCATTTATTCCGGAGTTCTCACCAAAAATAAATCCCAGGGCTAAAATGGAAACAATTCCTTTAACTATCAATTAACTCAGGCAGTGTTTTTGGGGCAGGGAACATCAATCTGCTCTGCTCTGGCTCCCTCAGCCTTCGGAGCACCACGAGGGACAGGCAGAGCAGAGGGAACCCATTCCAGGGGGGAGCGAGGAATCTTCTCTCTGGAGAAAACCCTGCACAGCCACTTCCATGTAAAGAACTGAAGCCTGAAGGAGGAAAGTTCCTCTTTTGTGTCATTTATCCAAATCCCACCTAACCATGGCAGAAAAATCCTCATCCCAATTTAGTTCTGCATTTGAAAATGGCACTGGGCAAGCATTATGTATGTTAATTTATTAAAATTAGAGTACTTAATTGTATTGTCCCGTATCCAACTGCAGTTATAGGATTTTGTCACAATGACAGGTGATCCTCAATCACCTGGGGTGACCTAGGAACTGCCATCAGGGGTGTCCTATCCATGGCTCCTTTCTCTCAACTCCATCGTGCTCATGGTGGAGGAGGCTACAAGAACAACGCCACGTCTGTGTTCCTGACAGGGAGCAGAGGCCCCTTGAACCACATTTAGAGGTGCTCAGAATATCCTGAATTGGGAGGTTCTCACCAGGATCACCCAGCCCAGCCCTGGCCCTGCCCAGACCCCCCAACATCCCCACCCTGGGCATCCCTGGCAGCGCTGTCCAAATGCTCCTGGAGCTCTGGCAGCCTCGGGGCCGTGCCCATTCCCTGGGGAGCCTGGGCAGTGCCAGCACCTCTGGGGGAAGAACCTTGCCCTGATCTGCAGCCTGAGCCTGCCCTGGCCCAGCTCCAGCCCTTCCCTGGGTTCCCAGGGGGGGTCAGTGCCTGACCCAGTGCTGTAAATCCCAAAACTGCACTCAAATATCAGGAGCTCCTGCAGAGAATCCTAACCCCACAGATTTAGTGGGATCCTTTGTTTTTGGAATTTGGCAACAGCTCTTAATTTCTAGGAGGGATCGGGTGTCCCAACACCTGCACCCAGCCTTGTTCTCAGGCCTAGAGCTACTCTGGGAGTTGCTCTGCCTTGGATCATCGTTCTGAGTGGAATCTTTCATTCCCATCCCCACAGTGACTCTTCTCAGAATCGTTTTTGAGGGCTGGATTGTGACAAGCCATGCTCAGGACTGTGGCCTTAGCAGATAGAAAATAATCATTGTAATAACTCTTCTTCCCGTGCTTCTTTACTCTCCTGGAATGATTCACTTCATTCCTGTCACCACTGATCAGCTCCAGCCAATGCAAATTCCAGCTGCAGGAGGAGACTCTATTTTCTCCTTGCTCTGTGAGATTCATCTTAGTGAAAAAAAGCTTCTGGAATTACACCTGCTTAATAAAAAATACCTGTCTGATGCAAGTGGAATGATCTGACACAGGAATTTTTGGCAAGTAAAGGCATCCAGTGGCCTCTCCGACACTTCTGTGGGGTCTCTTTACAACACTGCTCTAGATCAGTAGAGCAATTAAGGTGGGGCAATTAATGTGGGACAATTAATCTGAACTCAGGTCTCATCTCTATAGCTTGATTTGAAATTCTGCTGGCTCCTGTGAGCTGCCAGGACCTGAGGGTGGGGTTCCCCAGGGGGGTGACTCTGCCCAGGGGAGACACAGTGGGGTCTGTGGGGTTTTGAGCCATCCTAAAGGAGGGATCTGAAACAGCTGATCCTAAAACTGCCTGTTTCCTCCTGGGTCTCCAGGAAATCCACAGGCTGGCTTACTGGGGATGTCCTTCCTTAGGTTAAATCAGGAGAAATTAATCCCATCCTGAGCACTCAAAATGAAAATAAATTCTTCTGTCTCTATTCAACTAAAAATTCCCAATAAACGCCCCTCTGTGTTGGATATTGATCAGCCCAGGCTCTTCCACCTCTCACACCTGAAGCCTCTGGGAACAGGAGACCCAGCTCCTCACCTGGGGCACGTGAAGGGATGTCACCTCCATGTCCCTGTCACCCCCCCGTCCCTGTCACACCCCTTGTGCTCAGTTGACAAGTTCAGCTCCTTTGCACTGAGGCTTTTTGGGGTTGTTCAGCTGTTGGATGTGGCAATGCCAATTTTAGTGGTTGGACCCCAAGATCTTGGGGGTCCTTCCAAGCTCAATAATTCTGTGGATTCTCTGATTCTATGGATGCTCCTGAGTCACTGGCTGGGGACTGTCCAGCCTGGCTGAACATCCCAGGATGTTCAGATCTTCCCTTCTCGCCTTGGTTCATTACAAAACCCCATTGTCCCTGCCAGTGGAGGTTTTGATTTATAAAAACCTTGTAAAGTTTTGCTCATTTTCAGCTGTTAAGCCCCAGGAAATGATCAGTGTGAATGCAGTGCAGGGAGTGACTTTGACAATCCCATGATGTCACAAACACGGGGATCAGCCTGAGATGTGGCCTTGGGAACACAGAAACAGAATCCCTGCAAGGAAACAGGATAGAGGATAGAGAAGAGGTGAGAAAAAAGAAAAAAGGAAGTGATGTGATAAAGAAATGCACCAAAGCATTTTCATTTATCAGAACAAATCTGTTTGTTCTCCTGTTTGCTGAAGCAGCTCATGAATTATGTTGGACAAACAGACAAACCCAGTAACTAAAGGCACATTAATTCCTTCATTTCTATTTACAAATGTGGAGTGGGAGAGAAACATGATAGGAAAAGGAATGGATATGGGATAATTCTCTTTTAAATTAATAGTTGTGTATTTCTCTGTGGCTGCTCCATCTCAGTTTGGCCTATGCAGGAGCAGGATTTCTCCAGCTGAACTTCCACTGCCCCATCCCAGGGGAGTTACAGAAGTTGTTCCCATGGAATGGGAAACTGAGACATAGCAGTGTCCAGGGCCATGTTGGTGCCAAGGCCCAAGGGTGTACCAAGGCTCAGGATGGAGGCCTGGTCTGTTTAATACCTTTATTGATGACCTGGAATGAGGGACTTGGGAGCTCCCTCAGCCGACACCAGGCTGGGGGGGAGTGGGGATCCTCTGCAGGGGAAGGGTCTGCAGAGGGATCTGGACAGGCTGGGACTGACCCCATGGACTGAGGGTCAGCAAGGCCAAGAACCAGGTCCTGTCCTGGGGTCACAACAACCCCATGGAGCTCCAGGCTGGGGCAGAGGGGCTGGAAAGGCCCTGGGGGTTCCAGTGCCAGGGGCTGGACACCAGCCCAGGTGTGGCCAAGGGCAGCGGGGCTGTCCCAGCCCTGGGGGGCAGCAGGAGCAGGGCAGGGCCCGTCCCCTGTGCTGGCCCTGCTGGGGCACCTCCAGTGCTGGGGCAGCTCTGGGACCCTCCTGACAAGAGAGCCCTGGAGGGGCTGCAGCGTGTCCAGGGCAGGGAACGGAGCTGGGGAAGGGGCTGGAGCCCCAGGAGCGGCTGAGGGAGCTGGGAAAGGGGCTCAGCCTGGAGAAAAGGAGGCTCTGGGGGCCCTTGTGGCTCTGCACAACTCCCTGCCAGGAGGGGACAGCCGGGGAGGGTCGGGCTCTGCTCCCAGGGAACAGGGACAGGAGGAGAGGGAACAGCCTCAGGCGGGGCCCCATCTCTGGAAGTGTCCAAGGCCAGCTTGGCCAGGTCTTGGAGCAGCCTGGGACTGTGGAAGGGCTGACACTGGATGGGCTTTCAGGTCCCTTCCCACCCAAACCATTCCATCATTCAGACACGTCTTGGATGCAGCCAAAGGTCCTCACACCAATGCTGCTCCATCCCAGAGGTTTCCCTGTGGGATGAGGTGACATCCAGGGGGTGATGGATGTGTGTGCAAGGACTCAGCATCACAGGCTTGCACACAGAATGGGAAGAGGGGAAGCACTGGAGAATGGGGTTAAAAACTGGGAGATGAGCAAGGACACGGAGGAGAAGGAGGGAAAATGCAGAAGGGAGGGTGGAGCAGACCTGAAGAAGACAGAGGAATTTTGTTTTGTGTGTGGGAGGATGAGTGATGGGCCCTGGTATGGGAAAGCAAGGCCTGAATGCAGAGTTGAGCTGCAAACACAATAATGACACAAATTCCAGGGAAAACACAGTTTTTCATGTAAAACTGATGTTTCCTCATAAACCTTTATTTATCTGAAAAAATGAAGAGCAATCTCTGAGCCATGTACAAGCATTTGTCACCCGGGAAGGTGCAGGCAGGAGAAGGGGCTGGTTATTCAGACAAATTATATTCAGATTATTACTGAGCCCAAGCACTGTGGGAGTTCTACAACCCCAAACAAGCAGGAGCCTTCTCTGGTTTTAAAAATGAGCACATCCTGAATCCCTACAGAACTTCAGGGAAAAGAATTCCGTCTCCTGGCCTGCCAGGCTTTGTGTGCTGGTGGAAACAGGGATATATATTTGTTTAACATGGAAAAGAAGTGTAGATGTGACTAAGAATTTAAGGAGGTTTGGTGCCATGGTTCTGGTGGCTTTTAAGCCTCTGTTTGTCAACGGTGGACAGAGAAGTTGTCTATAAAAACAAAGAATAAAATCCCTTTTCCATATCAATGCCTTGTCCAATTTTTTATATTTTCCTCGAGTTTTTGAGCTCTGCTCCCACCTGTAAAACAGGGGTCTGACGCCTCCTCCAGAAATTGAAACAAACCACACAAACAACAGAGAGAAAAAAGGTAAAAAATCCCAATAATATTTCCTGAACCATTCCCAAGGTCACAAAGTCAAGCAGACAGAAATTAAGAGGTGTCAGATTTAAGCTGCCTTGAAAATCTTCACTTAGCCCTGCTGTGTGTGTGCATTCTAATCCAGCCTTAAATAAGGAATCATTCCTGCTCCTGAGGCAGATCCTGCTCGTTCCAGGCTCGGAATAGACTTGCTCCTGGAAGAGCAGCTTTTCAATATTTCATTGGGTCTCATCGTTCAGTGTGTGGCTCCATGCATTATTTACTGCAGACAGCACGGAATACAGAATTATTAATTTCTTACCAGCTTTTTCTTTTGTGCTTCCCCACCCAACCTTTCTTCTTCCCCGAATTTAATGAATTTATCTGAGGGGGGATCAATGAAAAGCTTTCAGTTTATGGGTGAGGGGAAAACGATGCATGCGAAAAGGATTAAAGTCAAAACAATCAGATTTTGGGGGTTGCATTCTGGCTCTCTGGCCTGGCTTTCTTTAGCACTGGCAGGTTTTTAGGGATCTCTGTTCCCAGAGCACGCTGGGCTGGGCGAGTTCTGCCTTGCAGAGGAAGGTGAGAACCCCAGGGATTTAAGGCAGGATTCACCTCCCCTGGAAAGAGATATCAAACCCAGAGCTGATTATCCTACCCTTAACAGGCTGCTGCTTCCCCTGCAGAATAAAGCAAATAAGGAGCCAGACAGCTCGTTTTGGGTTGTCCCAGGTGAATCTTTTCCATGGAATTAATGAGGAAAAAATCCCAAGGGCCTCTGCAGCCTTATTTGTGCAGAGCTGGCTGAGTGGGCAGAGGAAGGGTGGGAGTTGTGGGTCCTGCTGGGGATTGGTGCTGGGAAGGGCCACACTCAGTTCCTGCCCCTGCTGCAGGAATCCAGGGGATGCTCAGGGATGGCCTTCCCAGGGAACCACGGGACCTTCTGAGCTGGAAGAATCCTTTCCACAAGGATCACTGAGTGCTGCCTCTGCCCAGGACACCCCAACAGTCCCACCAAAAGGGCCCAAACGCTTTTATGAAGCTTTTTCAGTGCCCACTTTCTGTGAAAGTCACCTCCTGCTCTAAACATCTGCCACTCACTTGATCTCTTCAGTGTCTCACATCCCAGCATACGTGGATTTAGCCAAATCTCCAGGAATTCTGCCTCTAGAGACAGCCTGCCTTTAATCCATGAGGGACTTTGCCCTATTTTGGTGATGAAACAAGTTCCAGTACACAGACAGTGGGAAATCCCTTCATAGGGCAACTCCTGGGACTTCCCAGAGTGGGTGCTTTGGAAAAAAAATCGGCTGTTTTGGAAAAAAATTGGCTGTTTTGGAATGAGGAATCCAAGGCTGAGCCCCTCAGCATTATTTAACTTGATCCAGCGAGTGAGGGAGGCTAAAGCTCAGCTGAAGGGCTCTTCCCACAAAGTCAAAGGCTCTGGCAGGAGGAAATATTTTCAGCTGGAAGAAATATTTCCTTCCCAAGGAATTGACTTCTAGTAAGACTCACTTATTCTAAAGCTACATTTCTCTTTATAGCACAATATTTCATGTGGTTTATTCACCCCTTGTGGTGGTGGAGGGGGGTTCTCACTCTCCCCTCCAAGCTCTGCTGTGCAGGGGATAAAATTCTTCAACCCTTGTAAGATAGGGGGGAAAAAAAAGAAAATTCAGGTTGAACTGAATGCTGAGAAATATTTTTGGATGCTTCAACCAAATGGAAAGAAATCTTCTGCAACAGGAATGTTGGGAAATTTATTCCCAGCAGCCACACCCAATTTGTTTCTGGGCTCATGTGATTCTGCAGTATTTAATTCAAAATAAACACCCTTTTAACACTCAGATCCCAACTGAGATCAAACAAAAGGTGAAAAAGTCCAATTTCCCACTGGGAACCTCCAGAACCTGGAGGTGCTGCCAGGAGAAAAGGCAGTGGCAGATTTTAGGTGGAGTGATCTTGGTTCACTCCAGGGGCACCAGAGCTGGCAGTGCCCTCAGAGAGGAGAAACCAGACCAGGGAAAAAGCTCCAGTGGGAAAGGAAAACAGAGAGATCAGTTTAGGAGTAGGATTAGGGTTAAGGTTTAGGAGTGTGGCTTTCCAAGAACCTACAGGAAAGGTGGGGAGGGACTGGGGACCAGGGATGGAGTGGCAGGACACAGGGAATGGCTTCAAAGGGACAGAGAGGAGAGACAGAGCAGCAGGAGGGAGGAAGGCAGGAAACCTCTGGGCACATGAGGCCTCCAAAGGCTCAAAAATGACCAACATCTCAATTTTTATGTCTTTAAAACCAGGATCTTCATCTCTGGCAGAACTGGGGGTGCTCACCTGGAGAGGAGAAAGCTCCAGGGGGAGCTCAGAGCCCCTTCCAGGACCTAAAGGGGCTCCAGGAGAGCTGGAGAGGGACTGGGGACAAGGGATGGAGGGACAGGACACAGGGAATGGCTTCCCACTGCCAGAGGGCAGGGATGGATGGGATATTGGGCAGGAATTGTTCCCTGGCAGGGTGGGCAGGCCCTGGCACAGGGTGCCCAGAGCAGCTGGGGCTGCCCCTGCATCCCTGGCAGTGCCCAAGGCCAGGCTGGACATTGGGGCTTGGAGCAGCCTGGGACAGTGGGAGGTGTCCCTGCCATGGCAGGGGTGGGATGAAATGGTCCTGAAGGTTCCCTTCCCACTCAAACCATTCCATGATTCTGGAATTCCATGGGCCTGAAGCTCCCAGGAGGACA